CCATTACCCTCGCCGCGCTCCTCCGATCCGGGTCTTCGAGCCCTAGGTCCGGCCACGCCGTGCGCGTCGTGAGGACGTCGAGGAGGAGCGGGTGCAGGAGGGCGTGGTTGTGGTCGCGGAGGTATTGGGCGAGGGCTGGGCGTTGGTCCGGTGATAGAAGGGGTGAAGAGGGAGTGGGTGAGAGGAAGGAGAGGGAGAGCGGACACGTCGAGGGTGTGTGTAAGGCGCAACACGGTGGAGCATCTAACCCATCAACATCGAACTCAGCAGCTGCAGTTTCACGATCTGGAGGGTGTATATCGTCAACGTTGATAGCATGCATGAGCGTCCCATCCACGATCCTTTCCACGATCCCCGCCTGCTCGCCCGCCGACACAACATTCGAATTCGGCCCAATCATCTCCGCGACGGCGAACTGGATGAGCTCGAGCACGCTCCCGGGCCTCTTCCTCCCCTTCTCCTTCCCCTTCCCACTCGCATTCGATTTTACATTATTAGCGGCGTTGCCGGTGGCGGAAGGAGGAGCCTGCAGCAGCCCCGCCAAGATCCCACTAACCCACCCCACGCGCTGCGCAGGCCCTAACCTCCCGCTGCGGGAGAATAAAGCGCGGTGCGGGGGGGAGGTGTAGTCGTTCCCCAGCAGCGCGCCGAGGAGGGGGAGGAGCGGGGGTGGGAGGGAGATGTGGGATGCGAGTGTTTGCGGGGTGTATGTTGGGAATGTGAGAGTTAGGATTTGGGTGTGGGTGTGGGTTTGGGATGGAAGGGTATTCGGAGATGTTGGTGGTGGTGAGGAGGGGGGAAGGAATGGAGGTGGTATAAGCCCGCGCTCGAGCGCGCTTTTGGGCGGTCGTTTTTTGCTCTTTGGGGTACGCGCAGGTGTGAATCCATCATCACCATCCACTTCATCATCCATTGCGCGCGGTTCGGGATCCGCTTCTGTTACAGTCGACCAAACCAACTCATCGAGCGGGACGTACCCCATATACCCCTCCGCCGTCATGACCGCAAAGTCGCTATCCAGACCCGCGACTCGCGCGCCGAGTCTTGCAGCGAGCGCGACGACGTGCGTGTCCGCTTCGCCGTCTGCCATGTGGACTTCGATGCCTCTTCTTCCTCCTCCTCCATCTCCTCCATCACCATCTTCCGCCGACAAAGATAACGGTGCTGCTACCGCAGAAAGACCCGCGAGCGTCGCCTCCAAAAGCATGGGCGGGATGATCTTATTCGCAGACGCGTTCAGGAAGGAAGGTGTCCCGCGCGCGGCGGGGGACGTACGGAAGAGGAGCTGTGCGGGGGAGATGTGGGATGCTTGGAGTCTGCGGATTGCGGTGGGGAATTTTGCGGTGGGGTAGGCGCCTGTGCGTTGTTTAGTTTTTATTTTTATTTTTTGGACAAGAGGGATGGTGTGGATGGGAATGTGATGGGGAACGGACTTTATGACGTCCTGATGAGGATAATGAAGAGAAGATAATCGAAACGCTGCCCCCGAAAGAGAGTGTGCGATCTCGGTGAACGCATTGTCAAGTCAATGTAAATTCATCCAAGCCTTGAGGTACGCAGTCGGTTTTCAAAATGAAACAATTGCAATTCCAATCAAAAAGTTATTGAGAACGCCATTGGCCTAATGTCTTGATCGAGCGAATAGCACGAAGACAATGGGCCAGCAATCCCAAGTAAAGATTTCATGAAAATCTTCATGGTGGTGACGAAAGCAGGTCCGGGTTATGCAGAACGAGCTCACGCACCATCGAATACAAAAATCGGCCTGATTCCAACCGCGATCCATGCTTCCACAACCGCGGTCACGAGCCGTGTAAATTCAGCGTACTCTCCTCCATAGACCCACGGAAGACCAGCGTCAGCATGCAGCGTGTAAATGAAGCTGATAGTAGGTTCTGTGAGCTTCGCAAAATCAGAAAAATGTATGGAGTACGACGAACGACCACCCGTCGACAACGAGAGACTCGGGAGATGCAGTAGGGGTATCTTTAGCGAGTTTCGCCGCGTTTCGGGATTCTAGTGTTGTCGTTGTGCATAGGGACCGTTTGTTTTCGCGCAGGAATGTGGTTAGACCATGGACGCCCATGGAGAAGT